GCACACAAATGGGGGAAGGAGCAGGAGAGGGAGAAGCAGACTCCCTGCTGAGCAGGGAGCGTGATGCGGGGCTCGATCCCAGGACCCTGAGATCACGACCTGAGACAAAGGCAGACACTTAACCGCGTGAGCCACACAAACGCCCTTATATATAATTTTTTAAAAGTAATCTCTACACCCAACGTGGGGCTCGAATTCACAACCCCGAGATCAAGAGCCGCACACTTTTCTGACAATATATTTTTGTTGTGCATATACATAAACCCAAAGGATTAACTGTGAGCCTAAAGGGTGAGAGAGGCAGGGCCCATGTTAGAGATGCCGGCAGCCAGAAGGGGGAGCAAAGAGCGACCCAGTGTGGATGAAAGCTTGGGGAGGCACGGGCACAAGCTGTGTGACCTTCAGTGAGTTTCTTAACCTCTCTGAAACTCAGTTTCTTCCTGTAAGATTGGTTATTGGGGGAGATCCCGTGCGCTGCTATGGGAAGGCTTTGCGACCGGCAGATCATAAGCACGATGTAGAGGTTAGGTGTCCACGGTGTGGGCAGTTGTCCAATGTCCACGGTTGGGGGACAGGACAGTTGCACAACTATGATAACAGCCTGATGAGGGAATGTCATAAGGCATTTTAAAAACATCAGAAAATGCTTATGTTTTCAGCGTGTATGCATGCAAATTTATAGAAAGAACAACAGCGAGATGTAAAGTTAATAAGCTTGGGGGAAAATCTGGAAGAAATGTATCATCCTAAAAACGGACAGCCATCTGGGCACTTAGATTTCTGTGTTTTCCAAATTTCCAGCATGGGCACGTATCTGCATTTCCCTTCAGGCTTTTTATGACCTACTAGAATGTTCTGTGGTTGTTACTACCCCAGCCGCCCAGGTGGAGGGCCTCTCCTTCCTGTGTCACCACAACCAGCATTACCCCGAACAGCCTGCATTGCTGTGCTGGGTGTTCATGGCTGTGGGCCCCTCTGGGTTTGGGGAGAGTGCCTTGAGTTGGTGCTAGGCTCACCCAGACCCCCTCCATAGCAAACACGACCACTGTGCTCGTGTTTGCGGAACTGTGGCCTGTGGCCCCTGGTGCACATCTGTGCCCGAGAGCAGGATGTCTGGGGCTTTGAGGGACTCTGAGGGACTCTTAGTGCTGTCCCCAGGCACCTGCCTCCCTGCCCCCCCGGCCCGGCCTCTCTGCTTTAACACGGCAGCTCCAACGGCGTGGACCTCTCCTGGGCCTCACTCGCTAGGGCTCCTGAGGTCACATCTGGGTCACCTGGGCCCACTGAAGGCAGGATTGGAGTTCACGCTGGTACGAGTGGAGGGCCTGGCCCCACCATCCCTCTGCAGCCCCAGGTCCCCCCACCAGGACCCCTCCAGCCAGCATTCCGACCCCCTAGGGATCTGTCAAGCCGCTGGCCCACAGGTCCCCGGACCAGAGGCCCCAAATCCCACCCACTGTCCTCTGAGACTCGGTCCAAGTCCATCATTAGCCAGGCGCCTGGGGGGAAACTGAGGCCCTGAGGGCGGATGTGATGTACCCAGTTGGGACAACGCTAAAGGCCCCGGGATCGTCTCTTTTGACCCAGAACAAAGCTGGCTCAGGAATGGCCATCCCGTCTCCCCACTCTGGCCTGGCCCACGATTCTAGGAAGCATCGTGAAAGCCCCAGGTTTAACGACCGATTTATCTTCAAAGCATAATTTTCTTTAGCATTCACTTTCTCAGATGGTTCTCTTAGCAAAGGCTTCTATGGGAGCCTTCGATAAATCACCTAGAAAATCTCAGAGCCATCCTTAACAGGCCTCCCCTTCCAGGGAAGCCCCCTTCTTCCCAAGCCTCATGCCCCTGCACCTCCCCACCGCACCCCCATCTGCCCTCCCACCCTGTACCACCCACTGACCAGGCCTTCCCCAGTCACTGGTCTGCTCATGCTCAAACCTTCCGCAGTATGGAAGTGGCTACATGGATGGGCTTCTTAGAAGGTTCCAGGCCCTGGGGAAGCCTCAACGGGGAGGAGCAAGGGGCATCTCTCCAACCATCTGCATGGACGTCTTGTGGGTACCAACGTGGACACATGATATTCAAGACTTGGTGGGCCCCCTGACCCTAACTCCTTGGCACTATGAAGCCTTCTGGAACCTGGACACGAGCCCAGGGAAAAGGGGAGGAAAATGGGACTCAGATTCTCCCACTATGCAATGTGGGCTTTCGGTAGAAATCTGGTTCAATTTTACATGTCTTGTGCTTCTGAGTTTCCATTCCGTATTTCTGGAAGAGGATGAAAGAACTAGGGAAGTGTCCTGAAGGCCCCGCTGTGCCCAGGATAAGGCCTGTGTCTTTGCCATGACATGGCCAAGCTGGTTTCACCCCCTACCCCTGCCCCAGCCACGTGCTCTGATGGCCCCTCCGTCTGTGCCTTCACTTAGGCTGGGCCCTGCGTCAGTACCACACACTGTTGTGCTCATCTCGGAGACCCGGCTCAATGCCACTTCCTCCGGGAAGCCTTCCCAAGCCCCAGGAATAACCACCGCCGCCCCCACTGGCTGAGCACTTCCCATCACAGCCGGTCCAGAGCTGAAGGATTCACAAACGTCTCACCCAAGCGTCAGGATGAAGCCCCCCCAGGACAGCAGGGGAGAAACAGTCCTCCACAGCCCGCCCGTCACTGCCCACCGTTTTTCCAGTTCCGATCACCGAGGGAGGCAGGTATGCGTTTCTCCATCACACAGATGAGCAAGTAGAGGCTTGGGGATGTGAAATAATGAGCCCAGAGTCACATGGGTAGTAAGGGGCGGGGGGGATGCAGGGATTTGAACCCAGGTCTGTCTGAGCAGCAGCCTGTGCTTTCCCACGGCCGACGTGCTGCCACCGACCCCCAACCCAAATCAGATTATCTGCCACCCCTGCCATCCATATGCCCAGGGCACCTGCGTCTGGTTCAGCCCACCTTCCTCCAGACTACGGCACCTGCTAACGTCCCACCTCCCCCAGACACCTGAGCTCCAGCTTCAATTCACCTGGGGACCCCAGGAGCTGGCCTGCATCAGGCTTTGGTGATTGTCTGCTGGAGGGCCTGGAGACAGGCTGTGACCTCTCGTGAACTCTTGGAGGCCCCCGCGAGCCTGGACACCTTCCCAGCGCGGTGTGACGAGTGCCTTGAGTAAGCACGGAGCTGGCCGGCCAGCCCGTCTGTCCCGGCCCCTGCCGGGGGCCACCCAGCCTGAGAAGCCAATGCCTGGAAAGGCATTCGCAGGCCCCCCCGAGGGCTGGGCCAAGGGCTACTTTCCCATCTCCTCTTCCAGGCAGCCTGCCACCCTCTTCCACACCATGTGGGCAGAGAAAGCATTTCCCAGGGCTCTCTCTGCGCACAGAAGAGCCAAAGCACAGGCCGAAGGGTGGGTGGACAGGCAGACTGGCCTGGAGACGTCAGGAAGCTGCTCTAACCGCCAATGGGCAGCCGAGCTCCCCGGGCCGGAGGGCAAGCCCTTGTGGGCAGAAGGGCCCGGAAGCCCTGGGGTCTGTGGGAAGGTTGCTGGCTGACCCTCTGCCCCGCAGCGTTCCTCCGCAAAGGTACGTAACCGCTCTGCGTTACATACCACCCGGATCACTGGGCCTCCCTGCAGGGAAGCCAGGCTTTGGAGCCAACAGTCCCTTCACTAGGGGTAGGGCATCCGGGGGAGTCACTGATGTTCCCTCGGCCTCAGTTTCCTCCTCCGTAAAAAGGAGACAGGAAAAGGTCACAGTGCAAAGCGCTGACCTGCTAGCGCACGTCAGGTATCAGAACTGACTTCCTTTCCTGCTTCCCAAGCTCATTAATGACTGTGCCTGCCCCCCGAGCATCTGCATGCTCAGGCCCCCACGGGGACCCTTCCTTCTGGAAGGAGTGGCTGGGAGCACACAGACCGCCTCACTGTGTTTCTGCTCTCCCTCAGCATCCCCTGGGATGGGGCCCGGGCCGGCCAGGCGCCCTTCTCCTTCAGGGTTTGGGAGGGCCCGGACACAGCCCATGGAGGAGACGGACGTCAGGAGAGGCAGCTTGCCATCTAAGGCTGAAGAAGCACTTACCACCATCTTACCGCCCAAGTTTGGTGGGCCTGATGCAGAAACCCCTCCCTCTGCGATTAGGAACCACCTGCCACCGAGCTCACCCACACACTCAGGTCAACCAGGCCCCTTCATTAGGAGGGGAGGGCCGGGCCCCCGCCCTCCTGAACCCTGGCCAGGTACAGCACATGAGTCAAGCCGTGCCCCCCCCGCCCCCCTTTTCTCGGCCCGAGGTTCCAGTGTGGCCTTCCTCCTCCCACCTGGGGCCGGTGCCCAGAGGAGGTGGGAGAACAGAAGGGCAGGGCCTGGTGTCCCACAGTAAGCTGGGCTCCGGCCTCTGGCCCCCAGCTTGGCGGCCGGCCTCCCATGCCAAGCGGCCCCCCCCGCCACAGCCAGTCCCTCTTACCAGGCTTTGGGATGAGTCCTTGAAAAGGCCTGAAAGAGAAAGAGAGATAGGAGTGTCAGAAGGGGGACCTGGGAGCTCTTCGGCAATGTCTGGGGACCACCCCACACCGGCTGCCTCAGAATGGCATCTGAACAAGCTGCCCGGGGAGTCACTGCTCGGGCCGGACACGGTGACGATGTGGCAGTGTGCTGTGCGGGGGGGGGGGGTGACCAGGGCCTCCTGCTGGCCCTGCCCTGGCTGGCTCTGTGACCCCGGGCAAATCACCTGTCTCCGTGTCCTCCCCTCTGAAGTGGGCTGACCGCCTCTCCCAAAGGGCTGGGATGGGAGGGCAGTGAGGTGACGGGAAGGCCACCCCTCTGCTGTGGTGGCTGATGTGGGGTTCCCTGCACCCTGGCCGGCCTGCAGTCACCCTTCTGCACACCGCCCCCCGCCCCCCGCCCCGGGACCGAGGATGGCACTGGAGAGCAGAACAAGGCGGGACCAGATCAAAGGCAAAGCCAAGGGCCCCGCGCATGCTAGTCTGGCCTCCTCACCCGGCCCCTGAGTACCTGGTGACCGTGAACTTGATCTTGTCAGCCACTGCGAGGATTCTCTCCAGGTTCTGGGAGCCAAAGGTGCAGGGCTTTCGAAACGGGATTCCTGGGGGGAGCCCCTCAATGATCACCGAGCCGGGGTTACTCTTGATCCGCTTGTAGGGGACCTGGACGGGGTACTTGATGCCCAGGGCTTCTCCTATGGAGGAGGGACGGAGGACGGGTCGTAAGGAGAGAGAGCAGGGCCGGTGTGTGGACGCGGGGTGCGAGCGTGATGGGAAGGCGTGTGCGTTGGGGGGGGTATGGGGGCTGGCATGTAGCCCCGTGGGAAGGCACAATCGGTGGGGGGCTAGGAGTTAGGGAGTGGGTCATTCAGGGGTACCGAGTGTCCGGGCGGGGCAGAGGAACGGGCAGGGCACGCGGGGCTTCAGCCGCAGGGGAGAGGGTAGCGGCTCAGGTTCCTCGGCCTATCGGCCTGAGATTCTGCAGGCCCACATGGAGGATGGGACCTGTGGCCATGGCTGGCCCTTCCCTACAACGCCTGACCCTCCATCAGCCCCCCGGGGCTCTGCCTCACCCTGGTTTGGGACCCGCCTGGCCTGAGGGCAGACTGCATTTGGGGTCCTTCCTGGACAGAGGGAAGGAGCTCACTGCGATCCCTCCAAGGGGCCCACTGAGAGCGTCATCCCCTGCGTTGCAGGGCGTCCCTTTATGAAGACACGATGCAGAAATCTCTGCACGTCTCAGCTCGAGGAAGAACAGTTGGAACCCTCTCTGTGCAAGAAACTAACTTTTATCTCAAGGATACTGGGACTGGTATAACTGGACTCATTTCCCTTTTTGCTCTGGCTCCCAGGGAACTCAGAGCCTGATTTGTCATCTGCATCCCCCACGTACAGAATCTCAGTGGCTTCCTATGACCCCTGACCATTGTTCCTGCCTGTTTTTGTGTTGGTTTTTTTTTTCATTGAGATAAAATTTTCATACCATAAAGCCAACCATTTTAAAGTGTACAATCCAAGCGTTTTTAGTGTACACACGAGGTTGTGAAATTCTCACCACGAGCTAGTTCCAGGACACGTTCATCACTCTGGGAAGAAACCCTGTGGCCATCTGCAGTCTCTCCCCGTCCCGCCTCCCCGAGCCCTGGTGGCCCCTCATCGACTCTGACTTGACGGATTTGCCTGTTTTTAATTCTTTATCCTGACTGTGCTGCTGACTAGGTTATATGCGATGGCTAAGAGATCCTCACCTCCCAAACGGCCCTTGCTACAATGACCGATGGCCTCCGTGTAGCCAAATCCAGTAGACACCTGCGCTTCTCTTGACAGCGTTTGGCACAGATGTCCATGCTCCCCTCCCTGAAGCCCTCCCCTTGATGTCCGTGACCCCATGCTGCCGCCTGGACCTGACCTCTAAACACCAGGGCTCCTTGGCCTTTGGTCTGGGCCCTCTTTTTTGCTCCTCTACCCTCCTGGCCTAAGTTTTACATCCAATCCAGACACTTCTCCTGAACAGCAAACTGGATCCCCACTTGCCTATGGGTCATCTCTACTCAGCCCTCAAACTCAACACATCCAAGATGGCACCCATCCTCTCCCCCTCAAGCTACCCCTCCTTGGTGAGGGCGCTGCCCCTTCTCTCTAGCTGACAGTTTGGGGTGGGTGTCTGCCTGTCTGTGAGCCCATGTGCTCCATCCCCCCTCTCTCCCTTGTCACAGTGATAGGTCCCCATCACCCAGTGAGCATGTGGTGTTTCCCTGCCGCAGGGATTGAGTGAGGAATGGACATGTGACTCAGTGGGGACCAATGAGAAACAAGGGGGGGGGCCTCAGGGAATTCTAGAAAAGAAACCCCTGGCTCTCTGGAGAAAGGCCTCGAAAGAGCCAGCCCTCTCCTTCCCTCCTCAAGGTGTAGGTGGGATGTCTCAACCTGCTGTGGCGGGAAGCCAGCCTGAGACTGATGCCAACATGGTGGAAAGACACCAAGGATTAGCTCTGAACTGCTGGATCCAGTTGATCCTGAAGGCTGCTCTCCTGCTGGATTTCCCAGGCTGTGAGCTGTGGCCCATGATACTGTCCAGAGACAGCTGCACCAACATTCCTCCCATCCCACACACTCCTCTTAGCGTCATGTCGACACTCCCTCACAGAGAACTGGGGGCCTGTGTCCCCTCCCCTTGAACCTGGGCGGGACTTCGTAATTACCTCGACCAACAGGGTATGGCAGAGGCTCTGAGGCTGGGACACAAAAGGTGACGGCTTCCACCTGGCTGGCAAATCCAGCCACCGTGGGGTCACTACACCGGAGAGTCCACGTGGGGAGAAGGCACAGAAACAGGGACAGAGCCATTCCAGCGCCAGCTGGGTCCCCGGCCTAGGGGTCACACACAGGAGGTGACTCCAGCTTCAGCCACCTTCTGACTACAACCCCAGGACAGACTCCGAAGGCGAGCCACCCCCTGAGCCGCTCCCAGACTCCTGACTCACGGACACCACAAGAACAAAGGCCATTGTTACTTTAGGCAGCTCGGTGCGGGCTGATCTGGTCTGTGGTCATAGGAACTGAGTCAGGAGCCTGTTTGTTTTTGTTACTTGAGGCCATGAAGCACCTTAACTGCACGAGCTTGTTTTCCTCAAGCCAGACTCAACGGGACGCCTCCCCTCTCCCCTCGCCTCCCTGCTCCCCACCAACTCGGCACCTCCCGACTCTACCTCTGCAGCTCAGCTCCATTCCATCCACCTTCCTCCGGCATCCCTGCCAGGGCCCGGCCAGCCTGTCATCACTCCGGTTCCGAGCTGGTCGCCCAGCCCTGCCCTCTTGCACCCGTTCACCTTCCTCGTGGGCAGCCAGGAAGATACTTTAAAACTACGGAGTGCCTTCTGTCCCTTGAGTCCTCCCAACAAAATACAAAAGCGAGACCATGGTTCCTTTGAAGGCCCTAGGTGACGGGGTTGTGTCCCGGCCACCTCTCCAGGGCCCCTCCCCTCCAGCCCCACTTCCCCACTTCAGCTTCCTGTCCGTTCCTAGGACAAGCCTCAGGGCCTTTACACGTGCTCTTGCCTCGGCCAGCCTGCCCTTCCTTCTCTGTGAGATGAACTTCTTTCTTTAAAGAGGCCTCCCTCGCTCCCAATCCAAGTTATTCTCTCTTGAGCAGCTTGCTCTTTTCCTGCGAAATCGTGGAACGGGCCCTCGTCGTTACTAGACTTGGTGTAGTTACTGAATGTCTGTCTCACCTCGCTGGTCTACAGGGCCCAACAGGGCAGGGTCCCTTTTTCCTTCAATTCTTTATCCCCAGAGTCTGGCACATAGTAGATGCTCAAGAAATGTCCGAACGTGAGGAAGCGGTTTTCCCGGAAATGACCACGGCTACGAGTAGGAAGCTCCCGCCTCCCTTCCCATGGCAGCCGGGCTGCCCTCCCGCCTGGGTGCCCCGGGGCTCACCGTATTTCTTATTGAACAGATCCTGGACTTGCTCTCTCAGCGTGTTGGCGATGTCAATGCGCGAGAGTCTAGCGTCATAATTTTCTGCAAAGTGAAAAACAATTATGGATTGGGGCTGTTAAATTAAAAGGCACTTGGGCACTTTTGAGGAATATGATTTTCTAATGATGGGGAGCTCCTTTTCTGGCAATTATCAGATCCTCAGAGTGGGACCCTCAGAGTCCTTCAGAAGGAACATCCAGGTGGAGATGTGTGTTTTTCCGGAAGGACCCACGCGGTTGTGACAACAGCCATGAGTGGGAAATTAATTGTTGACATTTGAAAACCACCCAAGCAGTCAATCAGCCCGGGCAGTCTGAAAGGCCCCACGAGGGGGAGCAGGTTCTGGGGCTTTGGTGGGGCCGGTGGGGAGGGCCACCCCTGGTCAGTCCCTCAGCCGGGGGGCGTCAATGAAAGAGTCCACGTGCCAACCCATGCTGTGGGGACCCCAGATGGGCCCCTGACCCCAAGAGACTGCAGCCTGGCACTGCCTGGGGAGAGAAAGGTGAGGGAAGGAGGGAGGGAATGGACCTCTAGGCAGCTGGGGGTGGGGGGCGTGGTGAGGACCCCCATCTGCTGTGAGGCTGCGCATGAGGAGCCATGGGTGGGCTGAGTGCTGTGAGGACACCTCATTGTATCCAGTTCCGGCTACCCGGGGGAGAGAGAGAGAGAGAGAGATGGGGCAGGGAGCAGCCCCCTCCGGGATCTGGGTCCTATCTCTGGGCGCCCCACTCCCTGGGCTGGCCCATCCTGTTGCTGGTCTTGCTGACCTCTCTCTCTCTCTCTCCCCGCTCAGAGCCACAGGGACCAGCCAAGGGCCACCTGGGGAACAACCCGGCCTCGGGGACTCACAGCCACACCCTGGAGCTGTCCCCACACGCATGTGGGACTTCCTGCTTCTGTCTCTCCTGCCTGCCAAGCCACTTGCATTGGTTCAAGCTTCTCCTACCTTCCATCCAGCTTTCTCCCTGCTCACTGCCTCTCGGCCCTTCCTGGCCCAGCCACGGTTCTCCTCCTCCACAAAACCCCCTGGCCCTTGGGGCCCTCGCCCTCCTTTGGCTTCAGACATTGAGAAGACAGCTGACTGCCTGATACGGAGAGGGCGGGCCCCTGTACGCTGCTGCCCCCCACACCCTTATGGAGCCTCTTCTTCCTGCTCCACCTGCCAGCCAGCCTCACGCAGACCCCCAGGCCCTGATGTCGGGGGCCAGCCCCTCCCACCCACAGCCTGGCCCTCCAAACCCAAGCCAGGTCAAGGTCATGGCACTGGGACAGCTGACCCCATCCTGAGCTGCAACCTTACCTTGGAAACCCTGTCTCTTCAGGCTCTCGTCCACAAGAGGGTCCCCGGAATCCCTCTCTGGGGGCGGGGGAGGAGGGGAGAGAAGCCAGGGTGAGCAGCCAGCTCCTGGGACCCCGGGACAGAGGTGGTATCTCCGGGGGGTGGGGAACCTGACAGGGAGGGCGGTGGGGGATGCTAGGGGAGGTAGGACCAGCGTAGAGGAAGGATGAGGGATGGGGCACAGAGCTGGGACCCCTCCCGCACCCGGCTAGCATCTCAGCCCGTGACCCTGCGTGGGGTACCTTGGCTGTCCGTGATGGGCTCTTTGACTCCCTCGGTGAGCAGCTCGGGCCTGGAAAACACCACAGCAGGGCAGTTACTGAGGCCCCTCTGGCCCTCCTTGTACAACCCCATTCTGCACCGGAGGCTCCGTCTACACAGCTGAGCAACAGGCCCTCCCAGCTCTGGACAGCCCAGGTCCGGGGTCCCCGTCCCTTCCCCCCCCGCCCCCCCCAAGCCCCTGCACCTGTCCTGAGGACCCACGCCTGAGATCGGGGGGGAGCTGTGCTGGGCTCTGAGGATCCAGCCCAGAGGGAGGACGGCCCGACCCAGACCAAATGGAGGGGACACCGTCACTCGGTTCCGGGATGCTTCCCACGGGGTCAGTTTGAAGCACAGAGAAGCAGCCGGGGCTGACCATGTGGCAAGATCTCGGAGGGGCAGGGAAAGTCCGGGGTTTCTGGGGGACACCTGAGAGCTGCCGTGGCACTCGGAGTCAGGGCCTCGGGGACCGACCCCCCGCTTTGCACTCACGTCTGTATCTCGAGACCCCACAAAGCCCTTCCCGGATGTCGTGGAGCCCTCTCCGCATGCTGGAGGCGGGTACTGTTTCCACCGCCCCATTTACAGGATGAGGAGACAGGCACTGACAAGGTGAGTAAGGTGCCCGAGGCCACACAGCAGGAAGGGGCAGGGCTCCATCAAGGCCCGCGCCCCCTCACCCGGCCGCCTCTCCGGATACCCAGGTCCTGCTGCCAGAGAGGCACCAAGTCCTCATCCACTGGTCACCTGACTTGGGTGGGTGGGGGGGTGCCCTGAGAGTCTGGCCTTTGGCCTCCCTTCTAGGCCGGGTCTCCGTGCCACTGCTTGGCCACCCCCATGACGGGGAGCTCATTACCTCTCCCGGCAGCCTCACCCACCCTGGTCCAGCACCCCAGCCCCATGATACCCTTCAGGAGATTTGAAGGAGTGATTCTGCTACCTGTCCCACTCCATCGTCCCCTGTCAGCCTTCCCCTGGCCAGCCTGACCTCCCCAAGGCCCCCAGCCTGCCACACACTCCAGACCATGCCTCTCTCTCCTAAGCAGACAGGCTGCTCCAGCTGGACAGATCTGTAGTGAAAACAGGGCATTTAGAGTCAGCGCTGTATAATAAAGAGTTTGGTCCTTGTCCTGGGTCCTGGAAGGTGACCTCTCATCTTTGGTATTTCTCGAGGGACAGGAATATGAGTGCTTATTCCTGATGGGATGCTGGGATCACACCTGAGTTTATGCTAACGAGATGACTCGGGGGATTCTGGAAGATGGACCCTGTGATCAGAGGACTGGGGCTTCGAGCCACCTGATACCTGCCCACCCTCCTGATTTCTAGGGAGGGGAGGGGGCTGCAGATGGAGCTCAATCACACAGCCCATGACCCAGTCAAGCACGAATCCCAATAAAAATCGTGGGCACTGAAGCTCGGTGCTGGAGGGTGACATGTCCTGAGATCATGGGGACCTTGGCTTTCATGTCTCTCTATTTGGCTGGTCTTGATTAGTATCCTTGATAAAAAACTGTAATTATAACATAGCACTTTCCTGAGTTCTGTGAGGTTTTCTAGCTAATTATTGAGCCCCGGGGAGCCATGGGGAGCCCTGGATTTTGAGCCATTTGCTCAGAAGTGTAGGTGGCCTAGGGACCCCTGAACTTGCAGCTGGGGTCTGCTAATGCCGGGTGGTCAGTATCGGAACGCCCTGTAGCACTACATGAACCAGAACCTTCCACCTCGACTTCCCTGGGTAGCGGTCTCCTGTCTGTGTGAATCCACCCATGATTTTCAATTTCCAAAGGGTTTCTTAACTTTGGAGAATTGGATGAAAGCAAGGGACCCTCTGCCCAGAAGAAGGTATAGAAGAATATGTTTAGAAGGACGTGGAGGTCAGGTGCAAGCAGAAAGAGTGACAATCAGTGAGTGATTTCTCCTGCAGGTGGTTTCTCATATATATAAACACGCAGCTAACCCTTGAACAACACGGGTTCGAACTGCATGGGTCCACTTACATGCACGTTTTCTTCAATACAGTACTGTAAATTCGTTTTCTCCTCTTTATATTTTCTCTTTATGTTTTCATTTTTGTAGCTTACTTTATTGTAATAATGCAGTATATTGTACATATAACATATAAAATACATGGTAATCACCTGTTTATGCTATTGGTAGGACTTTTGGTCAACAGTAGGCTATTAGTAGTTATGGGTTTTTTTTTTCTTTCTTAAAGATTTATTTATTTTAGGGGGGAGGGGCAGAGGGAGAGGGAGAATCTCAAGTAGATGCCCCGTCAAGCGTGTAGCCTGATGTGGGGCTCGATCCCAGGACCCCGAGATCATGACCTGAACCAAAGGCAGATGCTTAACGGACTGAGCCACCCAGGCACCCCTTATCTGCTTATAGTGGACACACAGTGTTACATTCGTTTCAGATCTAAGTAGCTAGGTTTTTGGGGAGTCAAAAGTTATACATGAATTTTCAACTGCACAGGGGCTCAGGGGAGGCTCGGCTCTCCTAACCCCCGTATTGTTCAAGGGTCAACTCTCTGTTTTTATGGGCTGAACTGTGTCCCCTTCAAGTTTCATATGTTAAAGCCCTGACCCCCCAGTACCTTGGAATGTGACTGTATTTGAAGGAGTCTTTAAAGAGGTGGTTAAATTTCAATGAGGACATCAGGGGGGGCCCTCATCCCCTGCCTGGTGCCCTTATAAGAAGAGATTAGGTCACATGGAAAGAGACACCAGGGATGTGTGCACACGGAGAAAAGGTGACTTGGAGGCACAGTGAAGAGGACAGGCCTCGGGAGAAACCAAACCTGCCAGCACCTTGACCTTGGACTTCGAGCCTCCAGAACGGTGAGAAATAAATTTCTGCTGTCAGCCGCCCCCCCCATGTGTGATGTTATGTTATGGCAACTCCAGCAGACCAATATGCACGTACACACAAATATACAGAAGATAAATATGGATGCTCTATTGAGATGGAACTTACATGCCATAAAATTCACTTTCAAAGTATGCCAATCTGTGGTTTTTAGTATGTTCACGAAATCATTGATACAACTGTACTTCTACCTGATTCCAGAACATTTACATCACCCCCCGCCCCCACCAAAGGCACCCTTCTCTAAAGTAAGATCAATGACAAGTGGCTCTTTTATGCTTAATATACCCAACAGTATTTTCTGATTTTTATTTTATTTTTTTTCTGCTGATTTTTAAAATGAGAAATAACAAAATAAATATCCTAAGGGCTCAATCTCTCAGAATCACCCAGCAAGGCCACCCCCAAATGCTGCGCCTGGCAAAGCTCATCGCGCTCTCCTATGTGAGTCCTAGTCTTTGCTTGGCTTTCAGGAAACTGGAATCAGTTAAACTTACTTTTTAAAACGGATATGTTTTTAAAGACACGAAATCCAAATCCAGGCAACCACATGAATGAATCTCAAAAGCTAAGTGAAAGGAGCCAACTCAAAAGGCAGCCACCGAATCACTGTACTTGTAGGATGTTCTGGAAAAGGCAAAACGATGACAAAAGATACGTCGGCGGTCGCCAAGAGCTAGGGTGGCCCACAAAGGGACACAAGGGAAGGTTTCGGGGTGATAGGACTGTCCCGTATCTTGATGGTGGTGGTGGTTATATGACATATGAGCTTGCCAAAGTTCAAAGGGGTATACAACTAAAAACGGTGAATTTTGCTGAATGTCATTAAACTCCAATAAACCTGACGTTAGAAAAAAAAAAACAAACCCATCTCGATTGAGTACTGAGTGCGCCAGCCCTTCGCTGAGCCTTGACTTCCACTGCCACTCTGGGAAGTGGTACAGTGCTTCCTGTTTAACAACCTGGAGCAAGCTGCCCAAGGTCATGGGGAGGAGCGGGAGGTCCGGACTCAGACCCAGGAGCTGGTCTTCAAGTCTGACAGAGAGCCACCGGGCTAACCCGCCTCCCTTTCTAAGTATAAAGCAGCGTGAGAGAATGCTCGTGAGCACAGGAGATTGAGAAGCTGTGTCTGCACTGAACAATGAGAAAGGTCAGCTCGTGAGGATGTGCCGTGAAACTTGGCTCCCCCGCTGAGCCGCCCAAGTGCTTCTGGTTCTCCGTCTGGAGGATGGATGTGGCAGGCGGCCCCCCTGTGACACGTCCCTCCTGAATCAGGACATTCAGGACATTCAGCTCCCGACGTCCTGTCCCCACCCCACCCTCTCCCCTGAGCAGGGGGTGAGTCCCGTTTTCCACCTGCCACCACCCTGTCCCCAGGGCCAGAGCAAAGCCTTCTTGCTGGTCCCTGCTTCTGCGCCTGCCCACAGCCCCGAGGTCCCCTTGTACCTCACAGCTGGAGGAAAAAAAATAAAGACCAGATCCATGTCATAGTCTCCTCGGGATGTTCCAGTGAGTTCTCATTCATTGTAAAATAAAATCAGAACTCTTTAAGCCAGGCCAGGACCATGCATGATCCGGCCCCTGCTCCCTCCTAGGCTTTACCACCCTTCCCTCGCTCACTGTGTGCAGCCACACTGGCGTGTCACTGGTCTTCAAACACGCAAGCATGCCCCTGCCCCAGGGCCTTTGCACCTGCTCTTCCCTCTGCCTGAATGCCACCAGATATCGGCATGCCTCGCTTCCTCAGATAGGTTCCTCCTGTCCCTCTCTGCCCCCAGACCCTAGGTTCTAGCATTTATCTCTACCTGACATTAGATGGTAGTTTTAGTCAACGAGACTGGCCAACTCGAGGGCAGACCTCAGCACGTGCTGCTTCTCACAGGCTGGCCCGCAGGTGGCACTCAGATGTATGTGCCGAAGGAAGGAACCACATGTGCATTATTTGTGTCTCTTGGAGTACCCCCTTCCTTGTTCCTCCTGGTGCAAACCAGGCCCCCGGGGGAGAGCGCCCTGCCCCACGCCTCATCACCCGCCATGAAGGATGTCATGAATTTTCCAGTTTGGGGGCCATCTACTCCCCTAGGGGGAGCAAACCCTTAGGACTCTCCTCTTTCTTGTCACTTTCAAGCAAACCAAGCCTAAATTGACATAATAGTATCACACAGTAGCAACAAACAGGTCACCCCAGACCCGCCCCCCCCCCACCTTAAATCAATAGCTGCCTCCATCTTTTCCACAGGGACTGTATGTCTGAGCTGGGCTCACAGGCTGGATATGCGGAGCTCCACTGGGCCCTCGAAGACAAAAACGAGATGCCCAGGGAAACAGAAAGGACCCGCCACCACCGTATTTTCCAACCCTGGGATAATGGGCCACTGCCCTCAGCAGCGCCCTGATGCCCCCGGCCCAGGATACCAACACACGCCCAGAGAATGTGCAGAACGGTCCAGAAAAGGAAGCCGGCGGGCAGATTCCCACTGCACATGGTGACAAACAGGCGGGTTGCTTCGGGTCTCGCAGGCCCGGGCAGGGTCTGAGCAACCTCCTGCTTGCCCAACTGTGGCCAAACTTTATCTAACGCCCCACTGTGTCCAAACAACAAAAAAGCCTGCCCCGATCTGAAGACGAAGACGGCACTCTGGCACCGCTCCCAGGCGCCGGGTCAGCCTGGAGGGGCCCCCTGTGGACGCGGCCAAGCCTTACCTCTTGATGACAAACTGGATGCTGTTGCTGGCCTCCAGGATCTTCCGGAGCTTGGCGATCCCGAAGCAGTTGGGCCTGCGGAGGGAGATGCCTTCAGGCAGCCCCACCACAAACAGCTCCTCTGGGTACATCAGGAACTTGGAGTAGGGCACCTTGACGGGCTCCGAGATGCCAATGGCCTTGGCTGCAGAAACACGGCTGCTGTAGGGCCATCCAGCTATGGGGCCATGAGCCCCGGCTCTAGCCTCCCGCGTCTGTGCAGGGCCGGGGGGGGGAGGTGCACGTGCCAGGGCTCTCTTGAGAGTCAGTGCTTAGTTGACCCCCCAACCCTCCTGAGAGGTGGGTACCGTGACCCCAGTCTGCAGATAAGAGACCAGGAGCTCAGAGGGGGACGGGACTCAGGTAGCGGAGCCCCAGAGCTGGGGGATGCGAACCCGAGTCAGTGGGACCCCCAAACCCTCGTACCCAGGCAGTGCACAAGAAACCACCGATGGCTGGTGAGACCTGGTTTTGGCTCCGCCCAAGCCCGCTTATCCCTGGGCTGCCAGAAAGGACTTCCAGAGAGCCCCCCGTTATCCATACATAACCCCAAACTCTGGGTGGCCCAACCCCATGCCTTGGGAATGGGACAGGTCGGAGGCCCAGGCCGGGCACTACCCCTCACACTCGGACAAGTCATATCATTTCCCCAAGCCTCATGTCTCCTCATCTGTCAAATGGGTACAAGGACACAGGGGTTTTGTGAGATGGAAGAACTTGTGTGAAGCCCCTGGCCAGTGCCTGGCAAACCACTGGGGCCTCATAAAAGAACAGCCTCCCCTGCCTCCTGGCCCCCGCCCCATCCTCTTTCCTGGACTCTTGAGTAGGAAAGGTCTTGCTGTGTGTGTGTCCTCCCGAGGACCCCGAATGAGGGTGTCCATGAGGACGGAGGAGCGGTTCTGGCAGTGGACAGAGCGGGCTCTCCAACCTGAGGCCAAGGCCGACCGGGAGCGGGCAGGTGATGGAGAAGGCAACGGGGGCCACGTTGCTGGGGGGGGGGGTTCCCTGGGTGTCCCCATCCCCTTCCCAGTGGGCCCTGGCCCCTCCGTCCCCTCCCTGCCTCATGTCAGAGCAGGGAGCAGCAGGGGCCCCACGTCCCTCTGCAAGCAGGGCAGCTAGAGAGAGGGCGAGCTGCCCGGGGCCCCGGCTGGCTCCTGGCTCACCGTATCGCGTGTTGAAGAGAAGCTCGACCTGCTTCCGCAGGGGCCGGATCACGTCACCGTGGCTGTCTGGAAGGCAAAAGGCAGCCTGTTGGGCCTCCCCAGGGGCAGCAGCACCCCGCTTCTCAGCTCATGTCCCAGCTCTGCCGGCATCATTCTTGGCCCATCTGCATTGGGACCTTGAAATGGGGGGAGGCTGGCGTGGTGGTGGTAGCAGCTAACCTATTTCCTCAGAAATGGCACCCCCAGACGGGTCCGCAATTCCTGAACTCAAAATGTCTGCTTCTAAAATCAGGTCTAAGGTATCGCTGGGCCTGAATGACGATTTGGAAGACTTTGCAGCCTCAGAACGACCACAGATCTTTCGAAGCGTGTGTCATTCTAGACCAGCTCAGGAAGTGACTTAGCTAGTGGGTGAGTGTTAGGCCAGCAAACTGAGTACGCTGCCACCAGGTGGCAGTGGACTTTTCTACCCCCACCCCAGGTCAGGCTGGGTTTAGGGCAAAGACCCTTCTCTCCTCACACACCCACTCACATTCCATTCCAGGGGCAGATACTCCCAAGAGGAAACAGACCCATCCCCACTTTGATCTCTCGTCCTGCACAACTCTCACTCAGCAGGAAGAGAATGAGGGGTGTTCCTGAGAATGAGCAGGTCTGCTGGACACAAAGCCAATTTTGTGCTTCCTGGCCTCAATACTACTTGCTCAGACTCCAGACTTAAAACCTTTGTGAAAGAAGCAGGGTATGTATAAAAACGAAGACAGAGAATGCTCTGCATTTCCCTTACCAGAAAGAGCTGCTTGTGCCTCTGATCAGGTACCTCCTAGTTCTAGAAGACAGGTCTATAAGCCTCCTCCCAGGACTCCCACCTCCAAACGGGGTGTTGGGGAGAGATGGGGTGGAGAGAACCAATAGGGAGAGGAAAGGTGGGGGAGGGTAGGAGAGATGGGGTGATGGGCTGAAAGGTGGGAGGTGGACAGCGCCTCACCCTCTACGGGCCTCTCCTCGGGCCGTGGGTCCTCGCTGGGGCCTTTCTCTGAAAGAGAAGAGAGGGTGCCAGGAAGCCACAAGCACCATCTCCCCAGGAACGTCAGGCCAGACAAGGGGGGTGCAGCAGGCTGTCTCTGGAGCAGAGCACAGCGACCCCCCGGATGGGATCAGGGACCTCGATCCTGTACAGGCACCCCACCCTTGTCCTCACACAAGAAAGCCAAGTTCAGAGCCAGGTATCGGAGCACATTCAGTTCGCACTGTCTGGAGACCAGACCCACGTTGGTCGGTCCTTCTTTCCGGGTGCTAGGCTCTGCTCGAGGCACTAGGACATGCAGGGACAAGACAAAGCCCTGTCCTCTGCTGTGACACCAGCTGGAACACAGAAGGCCAGTCAGCAGGGATGCCGTGAAGAAAGGTGGTCGGGTAAGGGGAGGGCAGGTGGGGGGGCGTGGAGCTACCCCAGGTCAGGTGGTCCACGGGGCTCTCTGATGAGATGGCACTGATCCTCGCCTAAGCTCACAGCAACAGACCCAGCCTTGTCCCCAGATAGCCAGGATGTGGCGCGTCAACTGCGAAGGGGAGTGCAGAAGCTGTATGGGGGTGGGGGACCCTGCTGGCCTGGGGGGCTGCGTGGAGAGGAGGGAAGCACCTGGGCTGGAGATGAGAGTCTCGGAAAAGCAGTAGGGGAGAAGGACACAGGCAGGGAGGGAGGAGCAGCGTGGGGGGCGGTGGCAAACTGAGGTTCTGACTGGAGGAGGAAGGAAGTAGGTGCGCACGGACACCGGGACTGGGGTGCAGGGTTGGGGACAGCCATGCTGCAGGGCCTCCCTCAGCAGCACCCCTTCATTACCAGGGGTGGAGCCAGGAAGGCATCAAGGGCTGGTCAGTACTTGTAACAAGCGGAAGGAGGCTGTAATTTGGGAAGCTTGTGGGCGCTGTGGCGCCAGGTGCTTTCACACGCAGGACTAAGCCTCCAAGGGCCTGTGTTGGCCCACGACGTGCAGCCAAGCTGGAGAGCAGCGGAACTGGTGGAGCCCAGGTCTGCCAGACTCCAGGCCAGCGTCCATCTGCTCTCCCGCCGGCTCCTGGAGGGAGCATGTGGGGACAAGGGAGACCAGGGCACGGTCCCCTGTCCCCAGGCGGGAATGGTGAGCTGGAAGGAAAGAGGCTGGTCCCGGGAGAGCTGCCAAGAGTCCAAATTCGCTCAGGATGGAGGGAAAGGTGAGCCTGCACCTGGGATCACCAGACAAGCCTGAGGCTTGGGGCTCAGCGTGGAAGGCGCTGGAAGATTCTGGAGGGTTGCCCCTATGCTCAGCCGACTTGAAAAGGTTGAGGGCCAGCCCTGGGCTTCAGGCCTCAACCTTCCTCAGGGAAATGGGCTCACTGTGGGCAGTGGATGCTAGGCCCTCCTGACTTGGCTTGAAGGCTTTCCTCTGGCTGCAGTAGCAGCCCCAGCAAGCTGGGAGAAGCAGAACCGCCTGGAAACATCTCTCAGCCAACGACGTAGGGCCATTTGGAAGATCACTATCTCAGCTCCCTCCCTACTCGGCTGCCGACCTGGGGCACGTGGTTTACGTGGCTCTCATGTCCCCTGGCTCAGCTGTCCGCAGCGGTAACAGATCTGGTGACACTCCTACACTGTCCCTGTCCCACCTCCCACCCCATGTTGGTGTGCCTCGATCTCCTCCCAGGCAAGCAAGCAGAGCCCCATCCACAGCCAGCTTCTGGAAGGTCCTGCTAATCCACTGCATTTTTGCCATTTCCAGATGAAGGGGGGGGGGTCAGTCAGGGAGAGAGGAGTCTGGTGGGACCCGCAGGGCCACCAGAGACTTTTCCTGGGCAGGGACCTGTGACAAGGGGTCAGGTAATGGTCAGTCCCAGGGGAAGGGAACCACCCAAGTGTCACACCTGGAGCACTAATTAAGGTTACAAGGTGGCCTAGAGGGACACGAGGGGGGAGACCTGGCCAGGGAGTCTGTCCCTGCCATGAGCTGGCCATGTGCCATCATTCTGGGAGTAGCAACAAGGAGCCAAGATCCATCCAGAGCCCGGGCAGGAGAGGACCCGCCCCCGCCGTGCAACGAATCCAGGTATCCTCGGCCCCACCAAGGAGGAGCTTCTGTTGGGCTGGGGCCACTCCTGGGGGGCTGTGACCCGTCTGCTTTGGAGTCCCCAATTCCAAACGTGGGGAACTCACCAGATACTCCACCCAGGTGTTGGGGGCTGGGCTATTTACCCTGAATGAGCCCCCTGCAACTGGCTCACTGTGCCCCCCTTTCAACTGAGAATAACTGGCGACACCCTCCAGATATGATCAAGGACACGCCAACTATCCCAGCACTCTAAAGATGTCCAAGGCACCAGGTAAGGGAGGGAGGGACAACCTGTACAAAATCATAGCCACACGCATATGCACACATGCAGAAAAAGGACATACGAAGGACCCGAGGAGGGGGCACAGAACTCTGTCCGGGGCACAGAGCTCTGCATCATTTATTTTATCATGCATACATGTCAGCAGAAAAAGCACACGCACAGGGCCGCACGGACACACACACACCCCGTTCGAAACCACGGTGGTCCTGAGGGCCTCAGAATCTTCCACCTTCGTTGGTTTTGAGTGGGGTGCTTGGAAAGGCACCTCGGACAGGCAGTCAGCAAACCTGAGCTCCAGCCCAAGGCTGGGTGCCCCTGGGCAGGTGGACTGGGCCGGCTGGACCTCAGGTTCCCACCCTCTGTCACGCCAAAGAGGAGAAGCCATTCCAATAGGCCCATTGGCCCATGGCCGCCCAGCCCCCTGGGGTCCAGACGGAGATGGATACCCACGATCTTCTCTAACAGCACTGTGACCACAGCCTGGTACCCTGCGACCTTGGGGGCCAGGCCCCTCTGTCAGCTCATCCCGAGCCGCGGGTCACCTGAATGCCCCCCCCAACCCCCCAGTTTCTCCAGAGACTGTTGTCAAGTCTGGTCCTGCCCAGCCCATCCAGAATAGTCTTTCTTCACGACCAAGGTATTAAAAGCCCATCCCAACTGGCTGAAGAAACGAAAAAGATAACACCACTTAACCTCGCATAGCTACTGTTCCAGCAGTTTCTTCCTTGTTTGTTTAACCAGTGATTATGTTTTCAACAGTTGCAAACAGAGCAGCCTTGTCCCTTCCGTGCTCCCCCCTCGCTGCTTATTTTTGGTGGCTACTAACAGTCCATCAGGAGGATGCCACCAACAGGTCCCCGCCAGGTGGGCCGGCTCTTTCCAGTTCTTTCTTTACCAGTAACACGGCCACGAACAGCCCCGTGCAGAAGACGCTGTCTGTGTTTCAGATCATTTCCTAGGACCGGACCCCGGGAACCCCCAGGGGGTGCTCATTTTGACAGCTCGTCAAGCTGACCAATTTCCTGAGAAAGCAACTTGGCAAGCTGCATCCTTACCGGCACCAGAGGGGCACTCATTTCCCAACATGCTCAACAAAGGTTCCGCCAGATTAAGGGGTGCAGAAGAGATGTCCCCTTTTCGTTTCCTCGAGGCTGCGCGTGTTTGTGTTGCTTGCTGTCTCTTTTTTTGCGTGCGATCATCCATCCGAGCTGCGGCGGACACTGGGATGTACCACTCGGGTCCCCTCCCAGGGGCGACTCCCGTCCCACGACTGATTGAGGATAGCCCAGGCCAACTTGGAACAACGTCAAGGGGCCATTCTGGCCGCAAAGCTTCCCATGGGGCCGGCAGAGGCTGTCGGGGGGGCCGCATCATGCCTCCACCTCCCTCCCGGCCCCCCACGCTCCCACTCCCTTTCTTACTTAACTGCTGAGCCCAAGGGCAGCCCCTAATAAACCACCCCCCATTAAACACCAGCTTGGGGTCTGTTCCCTGGGGAACACCACCCGTGTGACATGTGTCCTTGGGCTGTGAGTTTTTCCTGTGGGTTCCGGCCCAGCGTTCTGGTCTCTGAAGGCCACGGGCAACGTCATTCCCGGGGACACTGCCTGTCCTGTCCCGAGGCACCTGCCAACTGCGTAATCTTACCGCCTGAACTACCTTTGCCTGACTGATAAATACGAGAGGAAGGACCGAGCCCCCCAGGACACTGTGGGAAAGCTCCCCCAGGAGGAGGCTGGGGTCCCCGTGCCGCCCCGCTTCCCCAGCTGGCCCGCCGTTGGCCCCAGATCCTGGTGTCCCATGAGCCCACTCATCAATGAGCCCACACTGGGTCCCTTCTCATGGTTCAGTCATCCGTGTGGAAATGGGCACCAGAACCGAGCCCGGAACGGGCACGTGCTCGACCTGTCTGTGGTTTGGACAAACCGTCTGGAAGTCTGTTTTCCATGGCCGGTCATCTTCTGTCCCCCATGACCCCGCTCCAGTGCTGTGGACCGGGGATCTTTGGGATTATCTGCCTGGGATCTGACTCCTCAGAAGCTGGAGCCTGACAGGCCCCCACAGCAGCTCTGCAGACCCTGTGTATTGCCCCACCGAGCGGGACTCCCGGGTCCTCTTCCCGCTCTCCTGTTTCCAGACCCATTCTCCCTGACAGAGAAGACAGATGCAGACGAGGAGCAGAGATGTTCTGCTTTAATTCTGTCGCCAATGAACATGGCACCACCCGCCTGGGCCTGCAGGAAACCTTGTTTTTCCAGTCATGTGTCTATTTTTGGTCGGGGGTGGAGGGGAATTTCTCAAGTGCAGCAAAGCACGCAGAAGAATATTATAATAAACACCCGTGTACCCACCAGCCGGAATGAGTATGTTAGCATTTTGTCATTTTTGCACCTGATTTTTTAATAAAACATTAAACAACACTGTTTTTTTTGGAATTTTGAAACAATGCTTCCAAACTTACATAAAATGCTGTGTCATCCGTATCTTTCTGCAGTTGCTTTTCACGCTGAACGTTCTCTTTCTGAGACCTCTTTGCCCTGTTTCTTTAATTTTACTGTTTTCAAGTAATCTCTATGCCCCATGTGGGGCTCGAACTCATGATCCCGAGATCAAGAGTCGCACGCTCCACTAAGTGAGCCAGCCGGGTGCCCCTGTGCAGGTCATTTAAGTGCCACCTGCTATAAGCTTTTGCATGGTATCCTTCCGGCACCCCTGCCTTCCACTCCCAATCAAGCCCACACCAGATATCGCACACACGGGAAACACACAA